AAGCGGATATGACATGGGTATTCTACCTGTCAGTACTTGGTTTCGCCGCGCTGTTGAGTTGATGGATTGTATCCGTTAGGTGAGACCGTGTCTGGTGAAAAAAACGTTGTGAAATGCTTCCAAGCATTTCATTGAATGCTCCCTTGCAAGTATGCTACAAATTTCGCCACAAAATCTAATCTAAGCAAAATTCAGATAGGATAAAATTATAAAGTGCTGTGAGGCGAATGGAAAGCATTCAAGGCGGATAAGATATTTTATTTACTCAACAATCAACCAAGGAAACTTGTGTGCTTGAGCTAATTTTCTCTACGCCCACACATTCGCCGGACACGTGATCAGCGCCTCGACAATTGCGATCGTCACAAAATATATGCCACTTGAAGGGTGTGATGGGACTGCTCAGATAGATTGGGAAAACTGAACGCTTGTCAACCGCATGGCCGATTTTCAAGCTGTATGACCTTATCTCTGATTTGCACAGGCGCGTGGTTGTATAAGATTCACAATGAAAGAATAGGGATCTTCCTTCGACTGTCCGATCCAAATAATAGTCAAATTGCGTGATTCGAATAGAATGTCAAATTTTTGAAAAGCTCTTGGCTCTTGGGGAGAAAAGGGACGAGTGATGCATCCGATTGTAATTTTCCGATAAAAAATCAGGGGTTGTTTCTCTTCAGATTTATCGAATTTCATCATCAGGTCAAGTCCAGGAATGACTTTATCCACTCTCTGTGTCGAACAATGGGAAATGAAGTACTGTACAGGTCTAATCGAAACTGAAGCAACGGGTCCCTGTGAAACACTTGTCGGTTCGTATGGGCAACAGCATTTATAATGAGGTAATTTTTTTCAAAACTAATAATAAACAAGTCTTGGAGAGTCTTTGTATCATTGATTTTCCTGAATCGTTTATACTCACTAGATGGAATGGTTCAAAATGTATTGGATGCTCCCATTTCATCAGTAGTGGTTGACCTAGACCATGATGAGTTAAGAGGTAACTAAAGAGAATGGAACAGTTTTTGTCAACAACAAATTAACATTGATACTAAACAAAATGTAAAGTTTGTGTACACTAATAGTCGATTGGTCTGTCTTTGTTCTTTAGGACTTTTTTGAGTCTCTTCGGCGTCAAACCCATCAACTTTGTTATGAAGTCATTTTCTATGTTGCGCTCCATTACGTATCGCACTTTTGCCTCCAAGGTGCTTTTGTTAATGTTAAAGCATTGGGCAAGGTGTGATGTGGAAAATCCCAGCTTATGTGCTCGTGCAATTCTGTTTCTGTCCTTTTCACTGAGATAACGGGAACTTTTGGTTTCAAGCGCTGCTTGCTTCATTATGGTGACAACAATACGAACATTCAAAGCTGTGCACAAAAATGACCTTGATTTCAAGGTTGACTTTGATTGAGGTGGTATTTTTCGAATTGATTGAGTTAGATATCAAACATAGATTATTATTATGAAACCTTATTTAATGTAATTTCTCTGGGTTGTGAAAGAATTTCATTTGGTTATCCAATAGCTTTGCTATAATGGATTATACATTAGATAAAATAATGCCTCATTACAATTACGGGAAATGGCAAGGGTTGACGGAAATAATTTGGAATAATTCTTGAGTCATTCCTATTAGAAAGTATTGCGTTTACCTGATACAGTTTGCGATTCTCATGTTCAGATCATTTATTCTTGGCACTCAAGGTCAGGCACGTTTAATTGACAGTCATGCAGCTCAGAAACTACGTACATCGAAGTAGACAAGATATAAATGATTGTCCATACCTAAAGCATTAATATGGGTGATAAATATAATGAAATCCCTTTGAGCATAAAGAAAATATTTTAGTGCATCACAATCGGCCAGTAATGTATTTTTCAAATAGTGGGAATAAAGCTCTACTACCCAGATGATTGTAATTTGCCACCGAGGTTAAAATAGAGGTTAGTACTTGTGGAGAAGTTATATGAAGAAGAAATATGGGCACTGCGTTTACATAAGTATGAATTAGAATTACAATGGATTATCACTGCAGTGCGAGATGATTGTAGGTGAGATATAACTTCAGGCCCCAGAAAGTCACATAACTGGTGATGGCCTACTCTTGTTGGATCTCAGGTAGCTGGTTAGCTTGTCTATCGATTTACCGGTATCGGTCGACTCATTTATTGTTCTTGTTCTGTACCCTTTTTGAGTTTGCTCAGTAAATCGACTCGAAAGAGTTACAGTCAGGCTTTAACATATGTCACTGAGTTGAGTTCTTCCCAACGGGGATAATCAGACCAAAACCGTACAGACAAAACGGAAATAGGATGTGCGTGTATCGCACAGGATAATCAGAGCTGTGCTACCCATTGCATCTAGCGGGGTGAATGGTTATCAGTAGGCTACTGCTCAGATATCCCAACAGTTGTTTAACTCTTTGTCTTCGATACCCAACCCTCTGCCCCTCTGTCCTTATTCCAGTAATTACCATCTCACCAGCCACCTTGTTC